TATCATATCCTCTATTACGCTTTCGTTCTTTACTTTTTACTCATGTAATTATGTTTCAAAGTCAATTTGAAATTTTTTTTTCATGAAACTACACACACACACACACACGCATACATACACGTTATCATACATACATACATACATACATACATACATACATACATACATACATACATACATACATACATACATACATACATACATACATACATACATACATACATACATGCATACATACATACAAACAGACAACACGCAAACAAACATATGTGCGTCTATGTATGTACAGCGTGATCCAAATTTTATGACAATTTTTAAGCATTTATCCGCTTGCTCGTGTTGTCTCCAACACACACATACAAACATACATACATACATTCACACACATACAAACATACATACACACACACACACACACATACATACATACACATACAAACATACACACACACATACATACATACACATACATACATACACATACATACATACATACATACATACATACATACATACATACATACATACATACATACATCATACATACATAAAAGCAGAGTGAGATAGTAATAGATAAGCGAGAGTATATATATATATATATATATATATATATTCTGGAATGGATATATATCGCGTTCTGATGAATGAATGTATATACAAATGGATTAGATTGATGATTGACTGATGGGAAGAATATAAATAAATGAAGGAATGTTGATTCGTCAATCAATTAATAATAATAATCGCTGTTAAAAATAAATGTATTTTTCTCTAAAATAATTTTATTGTTATTATTATTATTGGGTTTTTTATTCTGGCTTGGAATTAATAAAATTGTCATCATCAGTATCAAAGGTTAATTCATTCATTCTTTCGTTCGTTTCGTTTTTTCGTTCGTTCGTTTTTTCATTCATTCGTTTCTTTCTTCGTTCGTTCATTCATTTCTTCATTCATTCATTCATTCGTTCGTTCGTTCGTCCATTCATTCATTCATTCATTCATTCATTCATTCATTCATTCATTCATTCATTCATTCATTCATTCATTCATTCATTCATTCATTCATTCATTCATTCATTCATTTATTCATTCATTCATTCATTCATTCAATCATTAGTTCGTTCGTTCGTTCGTTCGTTCATTCATTCATTCTTTCAATCAACCAATGTTTGTTTATTTAATTAATTAAACAGCACATTAATTAATTAATTTGTTTAATAATTTATTAATTTGTTTGACTCTTTATTATGATTATAACTTGTAATTTGAAAATATTAGTTAAGTTTAATTTAAGGATAGGCCACCTAACTCCGTCCCCAATAATATTTATTATTTTATACTATAATTATATTATTTATAATAAATTATATATTATAACTATATTATATATATCATACTATAATTATTATATTTATTATGAATTATATATTATAACTATATTATATATATCATACTATAATTATTATATTTATATTAAATTATATATTATAATTATATTATATTTTACACTAAAATTATTATATTTTTGTTCATCTCCATTCTACTATTGTTCCACATCCAGACAATTTGGAATTTATTTTCTCTCTCTGTCCCTCCCTTTCTCTCTCTCTCTATTTTCTTCTTTTCCTCTCTCTCTCTCCTCTCTCTCTCTCTCTCTCTCTCTCTCTCTCTCTCTCTGTCTCTCTCTCTCTCTCTAGAAACTTACACTCCCACTCACTCACTCACTCACTCACTATGGTTTTAATTCTCATCCTCCTCTATGGCCGAAGCAGCTAAGGACATCTGAGATTTAGTGCGAGTGAATCAATAATAATAATAATAATAATTGAATTAATTAATTAATAATAATTGAATTAATATTAATTAATAATAATAATTGAATTAATAGTAATAGGATAATAATAATTGATTAAATCTCCGCTGATTTAATTACAACTTTATTCCTGTGAGCGAGAAATTCAAAGTTTGATAAATTAAAATGTAAGACGCAATTTGAAGGTTAAGATGGTGATGATGATGGTGATGATGATGGTGATGATTATGATGATGATGGTGATGATGATGATGATGATGATGATGATGATGACGGTGGTGGTGATGACGATTATGAAGATGATTTTTTTTTGTTTATTAATAACTTTAGTGCTTCACACATCCGATCTGATAATCCGCTTAATTAACTACTCAGATGTTTATTCATTCATTCTTTCGTTCATTCACTCATTCGTTCACCGGTGCATTTGTTGGTTCATTCATTCGTTTGTTTGTTTACTCACTTGTTTACCTGTTCATCCATTTTCATTTTCATTTGTTCGGT